CGTTCGTTCGTTCGTTCATTCATTCGTTCATTCATTCATTCATTCATTCATTCATTCATTCATTCATTCATTCATTCATTCATTCATTCATTCATTCATTCATTCATCCATCCATCCATACATCCATTCATTCATCATCATCATAACCTGAGGAACTCCGAGCCACACTTCGGCTGCTGTCATGGCATCTCCCGCGTTTTTCACTGCGTCTCCGGAATTCCAATCTTCCCAATCCGGACATAATCCTGCCACAACAATGCAATAAATAGAGTATTAATCTGAGAAGCTCGTCATTCGGATCGAGAGAGTACGGCCAGAGTTAATTAGTCTTAAAATTGATTCAATGCTTAGTGTACGACGATGATATGCCGGAGTTTATAAGGTTATTGCAAAAATAATCAGTCCGAATAATATTTATCAGCGAAAGATTGAATATAATATAATAACACAATATAATAATAATAATAATAGTAATAATAATAATAACGATAATAATAATAACAACACAACAACAAAACAACATCGAAAATATAATTGACTTTATTTGACATGTTAAATTTAATTAGCTTAGCACAGATTAGGAAATGCGAAGTCAAGCAAACCGTGATAAATTAATAATACGTACAGTACATACATACATGCACACATGCATGCATGCACACACATATACATACATACAAACATATACACACAAATCTACACAAATACACACACACAATTGGTTGCGCGTTAAATTATATCATTCGCAACGTGATAAATTGATTAGTGTGTATATATATATCTATCTATATATATATATATATATATATAGAGAGAGAGAGAGAGAGAGAGAGAGAGAAAGAGAGTGGGTGTGTGCTGTAATTATTCAAAATCTTTATTTAATTTTAATTAAAATAACTGAAGGCGATAATGCCAAAATAATAATTGTAGTAGCAGTAGCAGTAGTAGTAGTAGTAGTAGTAGTAGTAGTAGTAGTAGTAGTAGTAGTAGTAGTAGTACAGTAGTACTGATAGTAATTGTAGTGAGGATAAAACACGTATTAACTAGTTCAGTTAATTTGATAATAATGTTCAATATGTTGAACTTATCTAAAAATTAAATTTATTTTCAAACGATTAGAGTAAACGAGAGAGAGAGAGAGAGAGAGAGAGAAATTAAAAAGATGAAAAAGAAGAGAGAGAGAGAGAGAGAGAGAGAGAGAGAGAGTGAGATGGAGAGAGAATGTTAATGAGTTAATGAATTTCTATTTCACTACTGTTACTCGATCTAATCTAAAATTATACACACACAAACACACGCGCGCACACACACACACAAACATACAGACACACACGCGCACACACACACGCACACACATACAGACAAAGGCTTTACATATTATAGTCATTCAATCCATTGATTCAATTACAAAATTATTCAGCAATTAGATTATTGAGAAAAATGATTATTATTAATGTTATTACTTCTATTACTACTGCTACTACGGCTACTACTACAACTACTTCTACTACTACTACTACTATTACTACTACTACTACTACTACTACTACTACTACAACTACTACTACTACTACTACTACAACAACAACTATTATTGCTGTTCATAACTTCAAACACAATTATCACAAACACATTCATGAAAATTATTATCACACAACTAAGCATAAACAAAACGATAACTACTACAATTATTATAATATAACTGAAAATTATAACTATAATTTTTTACCGGGAGCTATTCCATCCACCAAAGCCCCAATGGCTCTGCCATCGTGCCAATCAGTGGTGAAGTTCGAAATTTTAATATCATAAACTTTATTCTGAATCCATAATAATAACTTTTGCTTTGGGCTGATTTCGTTGTTGGTAGTTGCTGACGTGTGAGAAGCTGTTGATGTTTTGCTGTGAGTTTGAGAGTTGACTTCGACGGCGTTGTCGTCATCATCCCCCCAGTTAGGAATGGAGATGGAATAGTGGTTGATCAGCATCCAGACCAGACCGAGAATCAGTTTCAAGTTGTGGTCCACAATGTCTGTACTGTCTGTAATGGTTTTTTTTTCTGATGACAAATTATTTTAGTAACTTTTATAGATGCTGTTATTTTATAATAGCATGTGTATGTGTGCGTGCGTGTGCGTGTGTCATGTATGTTTGTTTGTTATGTGTGTGTCTTTGTTATGTGTGTCTGTGTGATATAAATAGAAATGACAATGCAGCCAGAAGATATAAAATATATATGAGTTAATAAAATTTAAAGACATCTATGAATTTATTTTACCAATGTTAACAATCCTTATTCTTTCATTTGACTGCAAAAACTTCAAAGCCATGGTAACATTTTCAAGTTTCTGGGGTCTAAATACAGGGTTTTTGTTGTATTTTTGAAACTTTTTACCAGATAAAATCTCAAGTAATGCTATTAATTTCAAGCCATCTGATAAGTCGGTCTCAATATTTTCAATGTGCTTGTCTGCAATCTATAAAATAGTGAAATTAATTAAAAATAAAATGACATTTTTTAGTTTTTATTAATATGAAATTTTATAATCAGTATTTTTAATTGTTGATGTTTGTAAAATATAATTATATTATAATAATATTAATATATTATAATTATTGTGAAAAAAAACTGACTTTAAGCCTTTCATTAATCCACCTAGTAAAAGTATTTTTTTGGATAATTTTCCATGTGGCATCGTCCCCAATCCTCCGATCGTTTTCGTGATTTTGATCAGTGGTCATAACTACTTTTTATTTAGATTAGTTAGCTTTAGTTTAGTTTAGTTTAGTTAGCGTCTAGCAAATTTTCTATTTTCGCAGTTTTTCACTAATTCAAATTGGACTTAATTTTGTTAAAATAATAATAATATTAGAACAGTACACACAAATCAATAATTGAATGTATGTATAATATTTCAAATACTATTTCTCGAATTTATTGATTTAAAAAACATAAATCAAATTTAAATTTAAATTAAATCCATTTTTAGTTTTTAAACTAATTAATCAAGGTAAGCACAAAATTCATAGGTAAACTTCATTTTTAAAAAATCATCAAACGATCACTTTAATCCAACTTTTTCATACATTTTCTCATAAATTCTCATCTTATAATTGATCAAAGTATATTAAAAATATGAAATAATCATAATATCAGTATCTCTGAACGCAAATTTAATCCAATTAAAAACAGATAAAAAGGACAATTATGTTTTACAGAATGAAAGATAATAAGCATGTAATAGTACTGCACATTTAAAAGCTTATGGTGCATAAATTATCAGTATATACACGCATTTGTATGTGTATATATATTTATATATATACATGCTATATATATATAATATACTATAGAATATAATATAGAATAAATAAATATATAACCATACAAGTAAGTATATGTGTGTGTATATTAATGTATTGTATGTGTAGCACATTTTCAACGGTATAACACATGTGTGCATTTTGTGAAATTTGTATAGTGTTGTGTATGTGTATACAACTGTATTTGTGTGTTTGTATGTGTATGCAAATTTGTTTGCATATGTGTGTTTGTATGCGCGCATGGGTCTGTATTTATTTATATTTTATGTGTTTGTAATGTTTAGTAGTTATATGAGTTTATTTTTTTTTAATGCCGTGTTAGACAGAATATTTTTTAAATTTTGCAAGAAATTAAATAGTTTTTATTAAAACAAATAAAAACTTTTATTTAAAAACACATATTTACCTTAAGCTAGACAAATAATTAATTTGTCTAATTACATCGGCTTTCCGTAGTTTGATTTCATTTAATTGTTTTCAGCTTGCTTCGCGAAATTGGCCGAAATTTTAAAATTTTATTTAAAAAGAATTCTAAATTTGTTTTAAGTTTCTTTTAAAATTAAAAAAAATTAAACAATTTTATTAATTTCCACAACGAAGTGATGTTTCGCGGCTGTAAAATTGCAATACATGGGTCGCACTGACCGTGGCTGTGCATGTTGACTGCTTGGCCTTAGGACTAGGAAAACCAAAAATCCTAACAACCTACCTAAAAATAATTCATTAAAAATAGGTTCGAAATGTTTTTGTTAGGTTGGCTCTCTTCGTTGTTTTCCCCCACTTTGGCGAGTTATTTGTTAGAGGTTGTAGTTTATGCTGTCATAGATCAAAGGATTAAGGACAGACTTTATGTCACCAGGTTTGCCTACCAGCCATATTAATTGAATTAATTAATGATTTTATTTGTTATTTCATAATTTTTTAGTAATACTACAGTTCAATAAGTTTTACTGTACTGTTAGTACAAAAATAATTTTTATTTAGATTCAAATTTTGTCACATTCAGGATTCACTGAATATAAAATATATATATATATATATACAATATAATCACAATAGCATAATGATTATTATTATTATTAAAAAAATAATTGATTAGGAGACCCAATGAAAAAGTAAAAATATGGATGGAGGAATGCATGATCCTGTTTATCATTGCATTCCTGGTGTGGTTTCATCACTTCCCATACTTCCTGTGCACTATGATCCTATGCACCATTGGCACTCTCCTTGTTTGTCACGCTGCTCAGATAGGGTCAGTTAGTGTCATTAGTTAGGATGTCGTTTTGTTTTTATTCAAATTTTGTTTTTTCATTTACGGATGAGGATTGATTTAAACTTTTCTAAAAAAAAATGTTGATTTATTTTTTTTTTTTTTCATTTTTCATATCTAAAGATGTTGGTTTTATTGGATTACCGACTGGTACAAAGAGTTTGGGGAACATCAAGAATCAGTGGATAGAGTGAATAAAAATAAAAGAGTGCAAGCAGAGCAAAATTTCAAAAACCTTCAGAACAAGCCGTCAGCCATCAACATACATCATCAATCCATATATAAGCCTCAAATAAAACCATCCACTACAAAATTGTTGAAAATTGATGACATGAGTGATGATGAATGCGACGAAAACATGCCCCCACCTAACATTACACTAATCAAACAGTCAGATAGTGCCAGTAAAATCTGCTTAAAATTTGCCCCTGATGTTGCTGATAAATTGAGCTATCCTTTTGAACGGCAGCCAAAACCAACCCCATCAAAAATTCAGTCAAATCACGTTGTCAACCATCACCAAAAAGTAGAAAATCAATTTTCTTTCCTATCTCCATCATCTTGGAGACAAAGGCTGATTTCATCTATTCGTCCGAGGCCTCCAATACATAATGAAATGAGCAACGAGAACCAGGTGCATTCTGCCAATGTTTTCCTTAGACCTATTGCCCAACAACAGCCACAGCAGCAGCAACAACAACTACTACAACAGAAACAACAACTTCAGTTGAACTTAATGTTTCAACCTCGTGGTTTGAAGAATAATATGGAGAACCTTTGTTTTTTCAACTGTGTCATCCAGGCCCTATCCAGAACTGATAAGCTAGTGACAGAGTTAATGAGAATTTCAGGTCACATGCGGACAGACAACCAGATTCTAAGTGAAGTCATCAACGTTTTTGCTGCCCTAACCAATCCAGATCCAAGTTTCAATAATCCTCTGTCTTCATCTCAAAAATCACCAATCCCAGTCGACACTACTAATCTTAGATTAGCTCTTCTATCTAAAAATTATCCAATAATCAGTAGTAGTAGTAGTAGTAGCAGCAGTAGTAGTAGCAGCAACATCAGCAACCACAACGGCCGCAAGGTGGCATCAAATGTTTTTGCTGGTGGGGCTCATCAAACCTACTCAATGAAATTAGTTAGGAATGCAGATGTAACAAGTAGTTTTACTGACATCAGTGGCGGTAGTGGTTGTCGTTTGCTGCAGCTGCCGGGGAGTGGAGAGAAGCAAGAAGAGCAAGATGTGGCTGAGATGCTGATGTGGATGTTGAATAGGTTGAGTCAGATTGTGTCCAGGATACCAGAGGCCCAAGGTATTTCTTCATTTTGCTTTCTATTTTGTTTATTATTTATTATAAAAATACAAGTGTATGCAGACATGTGTGGGTATACAATAGAAATACATGAAGAAACGTTCATATACAAACTTGTACAAATGTACACACGTACAAATACAGACTTACACAGAAGAAGTGCCTTTTACAAGGAGCATGTGTACTTACAATCTAAGTACAATGATCCTGACCTAAGTACGATTGCACTGTTGAAAGAGTACCATCAAGCTCAGGTATGCTGGTATAAACGATGACGGTTGATTGATTGATTGCTTGATTGATTGATTGATAGAGTGATTGATTGACATGTTTGAGTAATCATTCTTACTATATCATATTACCTTTCAACAGCTACGATCAGCAACGACAACAACAGCAGCAGCACTAGAACACGAACTCACATTAGCTGATCTTGACTGGCTGCTCTACAAACAACAGGCTCCCATCACTCTTGCTACATGCTCTAACATCGAAGAACGACACAGCAACTACAATTCAACTACAACAGCCACAACAGCAGCCACAACAATCATAGATGATCTATTTACAGGGCAGTTATCATTCTCAAATCGTTGCATTCGTTGTCGCCAGATTTCCGCGACGACGGATGTTTTTAAGGTTCTACCCGTTGCCGTTCCCGCAGATGATTCTAGAATCGTCTCTATCGAACAGTGCCTACAAAATCTGACGGTTGCAGATAGCGTCAGTACTGATTCCAATGGAAATGTCTGCCAATTTTGTGTCTCCAGCATGACCCCAAATAAAGATTTAAATAGATCAAGATCGCTAATCAGTAGCAGCAGCAGAGATAATGTTTTAGCCTCGTCACCAGTGAGTAATGAGGGAACCTTACCAGCTTTTGATAACCACACAATGCTCGATCTGTTGTCTCCCATTAAGAAAAACGATGGCGGCGCCGTTGTTGACGGGTCAAAGTTCAATCTGGGGTCAAATGAAGTTCTTAACCTTGACTCTCGATCACGCTCGCCATTGGGTTATCACATTCTAAATAAATTATTATTTATTGATTCATTTGCTGATGATAGATGAGTATAATAATGAATATAACATGTTTCTATCACACTTCTACATATATGTGTACAAACAAAGTTTTTTTACAGACTCACATACACAAGCGTAAACATACACATACACACACACACAGCCTCCTTATCATGCGTCAGACAAACGACAATCACACGAATACCTGAGTACCTCGTGATACAACTCATGAAATTTCAAGTCCAATCGATCGAACCCACCACAAATTCGCACATCCCTGCTACTACGTCTAAATTGGTGACCAAAGTTAGACTGACCAGTAGGCCAATGGATGTGGGTTCGTTAACGATGCGATGTCGTAGAGGTCAAGATGGTATCAAGATCATGCACCGATTGTATGCCGTCATATTGCACTCTTCTTCTCGCGATGATCGCAACACATCGGAAGGTAGTTCTTCTCGCGGCCGTCCTTGTTATCTCTTGTTACTTTTTACCTTTCTTGCTGTCCGTAAGCATCTTCATCGTATCGTTGCACACACACACACACACACTTCATCGTATCGTTGCACACACATACACACACACAAACAAACACACACACATACGAACAGGTCACTACAGGGCGTTGATATGCAGTAACCAATCAACGTGGCATCTAGTTGACGACGAAACCGTGCATTACATTGAGAATATCGAAGATTTACTACAGAACACCTACGTACAACAAAATGCTTACCTACTTTTCTATTGTAAAGTTGTCTGACTAGTTGATCAACTGACCGATTGATTGAATGTCAAGACATCTGATTGATTGATTGAATGTTTTGGTAGATTAGTTAGGTGGATAGATTTGCTTAGTTTATATGTTAATTTGTTGACAAGATGCATTAACTAGGTAGACTTATCAATATTTTGTTTTCATATTTGCATTAATGACATTAACATAATCTCATTAATTAGTTAATTGATTGATTAATTAATTAATTAATCAACCAATTAATTATAAAAACCAACGATTGATTGGCTTTGTAATCATTACATGGCATTAAACGTTTTGTTAAATAAAATGAATTTAAATAAACAAAACTCTAAAATGAACATTGCTACTTTTTTGCTATTAGTAATTATTAATCCATATTTCATTTGCTTGTTGTTTCTATATGAGAAATTATTCACCAATATTTATCTGCCTGTATTATAAGGCACATATATATATATATATATATATTATAAATATATATGTATATATAGCATATGCTTATCAAACCATGCAGCTGTTTCTAAATGTTTTGTATATAAAACAATGAATACGATAGCTTTTAGTGTACATATGTATGTTTGTATGTACGTATACAATGTTTATTGTATTGTATGTTCACTTTGTATGTACGTATATGTATTTGTGTGTGTATATTGACGCCTGAATCTCTAAATGTTCTTCGTGTGTATAGTTATACATATAATGGAAATATATAATACATACATATGTATGCGTACATGTTTGTGTAATCACACATACTTTAGCTCTGGTATTGTTTGTATAGCGTACAATTCTTGGTATTTAATTCTATCTTGTGTATATGTGTAAGTGCCTTAGATTAGATGGTTAAATACGATAAACATATTAATGGCTAACTTAATGTTCGTTATTCAAGTTTTTTTTATGATTCTTCTAGTTAGCATTAATTGAGCAGTTGAATATATGATCGATTAATTAATTGATTGGATGATTGATTAATTGATTGGATGATTGATTGATTGACTGATTGAGAATGTATAAATCGATTCGTTTGCCTCCTGTTTAATAATGATAATAATTGAATATTCTTTCATTCTCGTATAAATTTAACATGAAAGTAGAGAAAAATAAAACCAGAATACACACATTCTACATATGGTGTATTGTATTGTATGTGCGTGTGTATGTGTGTGTTTATCTATCTATACGTGCATGTATGTCTGTGTGTGTGTGTTTATCTATCTGTATGTAGGTGTGTGTGATTGTTTTAGATACATTTTCACCGTAACTTATACATCACAAAGAATAGGAAATAATGATGATTAACTGTATATCATCCGGCCTTTAATTTCGGTGCCAAATACATTTAAATAATTAACTAAATAAATAATAAAATTAATATCATCTATCAGATAACATTTATTTATTTATTTTAACAATTCAACAATAGATTAGTACATAGATTAGTACATAAATAAACGCATTCGATCATTTGGATTTTACAATTGGATTACATTACAATTGGATTAGTTAATTTTATAAAATAATTCAAATGTCAAATCTAACAACATCTAGTAAAAGCAATGACAAAAATATGAAGGATATATATATATATTATAACAGAAAAACAACACAGAAAAAATGTTTAAAACCTTTTTGATTTAAAAACTACTTAGATTAATATCAGCCTTTAGTTTAGGTAGTTAGGTGATTAATTAGTGACACTAAAGAAGCTATAATGTATAATCTTTCAAAAATTAAACAAATGCAACACACACAGATACGCATTCATATATCATTAATACATAGGATACATATCCAGAGATTCATCTTAGATAGAAATAGGCTTAACAGTAGAAATTCACAACGTTAAATAAAAATACACACAGACAATAGCAACAATGAGAATAATATCAATAATAATATAATTATTATAATACCATACAATACCGTTATACCAAGCATGTATAATATATAGTATTGTACAGTGCGGTATAGATGCGACAAAAATGTAGTAATAAATATGCCAAGAAATGTTTTGTCTTTTGATTTAACGGATGCATAATGAATGAATGAATGAATGAATGAATGAATGAATGAATGAATGAATGATAGTAAAAAACTGGAAGAAAGTCAAACAAAAATGAAATAAAAGAGTATCAAACAAACATGCAGAAGAAAACATTTTTGTAGAAGGAATGAGTGATGGAATAAATTAAATGACTAAAACTGGAACTGTATGAATATACTATATTTATACACATACATATATATATATATATATATATATATATATATATATATACACACACACTTATACACATGTGTATATTAGTATACACACATATGTAAGGTAGATTCTCAAATAAATGCTATACAATTTCATTTAAATTAACACATGCAACCTAAACAACATCAACAAAACATAAAAAAGTATAGAAACATATGTTATATATATATATACATATATATATGTATAATTGTATATATTAAAACAATATTACATATCGTATATAGATAAATATGCAACAATATCATATAAATAGCGTATAAATAATGATCACACTCTATAATGAAACGTTGTGAAGTTGTAGGTATGAGACATAAACACACATACATACGCACACACACGCGCGCGCGCACACACTCACAAACACATGTATATATATATATATATATATATATATATATATATATATATATATATATATATATACCAATCAATCATATCATATATGTTCAACTTGCTAGATCGACCAATCACATTTTGGACCAACACATTGATGACCTTATCAATATATTGCATCGACCAATCACGTCATCCTTTCGTTTTATCATTTCAACCAATCACAATGGAATATTCTACTTTCATCACACAACAATCTCTACTCAATGCGCTAATACATACGGGTCATACAAGCCAAATGTGTACATTTTTCTCACCATAAATTCCATTTCATAACTTTATACAAACCAAATTCGATAAAGAGACAAATAATTTAAAAAATTAAATAACAAATAAATGAAAAATTAATTGAGTAAATCAATTAACTGAGTTAATTAATTAATCAATTGATTGATTGATTGAGTGAAAGCAATACATTTAAATACATCTAATTATCCAGTCAGGTCGTCATTACAATTTACCTGCTAATTACCTGTAACTGTAGTAAAAGTTTACCTGTAAATTGATTGTAAACCAGACTATGGGAATCTATTCCACCATAATTAGGTCAGGGCCATTCTCTCATCCCTATCTCCGCTCTCATAGTAACTTGGAGTCTGAAAGGAAACAGTAAAACTACTACTACTATTATTATCATTATTATTATTATTCACCAACCAATCAGCCAACCAACCAAGCAGCCAACAAACCAACCGACCGACCAATCAACCAGCCAACAAACCAACCAACCAACCAATCAGCCAGCCAGCCAACCAGCAAGAGACCAACCAACCGACCTTCCTACTCACTCCAACCATCGATCCAACGATATTATTTCCACCACCAGCAATATTCCCGCCACTTCCGCTGCCAGTTATCTTTCCGAAGAATGAATTTTTCTTACGCCCAGCTGCAGACTTGAACTCAATAGCGTCAAACTGCTCCTCCTCCTCGCCTTCATCAATGCCACACGAGTCGACACCAGGCAGCTCCATGCCATCTCTGGCGTGGCTTGACGATTCCACCAGCTTCATGTACTTGTACTGCAACCTTGGGCAAGGGTCATTTTTGATTGATTTGTTACACACTTGTTACACAGTGGCAAATATAGTAAATGGCAAATTAGTAGCAAATGGCAACTTTCTGTTTTTGTTCCAGCAGTAGATTAGGATGACGATGGACAGGAGTCCGATGAAGAGGAACACAGGCACCAGTATAATGAGCACCTTCATCTGGAGAGCAGTGCAGACATCACCATCATTATTATCATCATCATCATTATTCTATTTGTAATCATCGCCACCATCACCACCATCATCATTACCATCATCATCAGCAGCAGCAGAAGCAGCAACGACAACAGCAACAAATAAACAAACTGACCCAAAGAGGAGAAGTGGACTTGAAGAACCATAGCGGACTGCACTCCTCCACCCTCGTCATCACCACTGATGATGGCACTACACATCTCCTGATGATAATGATTACAACTATGATAACAGTGATGATGATGGTGGTGGTGATAATGATTACGATACAATCGTTATTGAAACTGGAATTAAAACCGAAGAAATAAAAAAACCCATTAGTCTTCTTCATAACTTCCTGCCTGCCACCAACACATTCGCCACTGAATTCCTCAAAATCCTCCTCAGTGCAGATGGGGCAAGCAGATTTGGTCTTCCATAGAATCACAAAGTTACACCCGTCACACGTGCCATCCGGACAGTCAGGCGGTAAAACTAATTCCTCTTTGTCTGACTGCTGGGGTCCACCGCCCATGTTACAGCGAAGAATGATGATGGTGGTACGACCCGATTTGCAAGCTCTTGTCAATCTGGATTTACAAAAAATGTAACAGACAGATGTCTAGAAAAAGAGAGAAAGAGACGATTGTTAAGAGAGAAAGAAAGAAAAGGAGAAAACGGAGAGAGATAGGGAGGGAGAGAGAGAGAGAGAGAGAGAGTACATAAACGCAGAGAGATTACAACAGGAAAAGATTGAAGAACTGCAACTTACTGGTCTGACTTGTAGATGAAATAAACTTCCTTGGCGTCATCTGTTGAATTAAATATTGAACATTCTTGTCCAAACTAAAAGACAATCAAAAAACAACATCAATAACAAACAAACAAACAAACAAACAACATCAATAACAAACAAATAAACTAACAAGCAAACAAACAAACAAACAGACAGACAGACAACTTGCCATTAAATTGAAAGTTGGCAGCCTTGATGAGTTTACTCATGTTAGAATCTCGTTCATCTGTCACCATTTCTAGTCTATCCCCAAAACTGTTTTGTAAACAATATTCGAATCCATTTCACACACGCACACACACACACACACACACACACACAGATAAACATCACATACACACACGCACACACACACATTACACACACACACACACACACGTACGCACGCACACACACACACACACAGACAAACGGACCTCAGAGGATTAGTAAGAGTCACCAGGCCCTTATCACCAGGCAGAGCAGTCGTCCTACAGATAGAGACATACTGGCCGTCATTGGTTGGCATTTCCAACGAATCCTGTTTCAAGAAATTTGAAATTTAAATATTTAAAAAAGTTAAATTATTAAAAATAATAACAAAATAGAGTAGGAATTTTGAATGTAATTGTCGAAAAAATAAAAAAAAAACCAAAAAAAAAATTGAAAAAGTCAAACCTCATCATCCTTAATGGTGAAATTAGAAGCGCAATAGGCGAGTGAACTGCCAGACACGACCTGCGAAGAAGTAGCGGCCACTGTAGCTGCTGGGTTTCCTGTAACCTTGCGTTGGTCGCTGCAGAGAGAGATATTGAAGAGATGAAAATACCTGTAGCCGCTCGTGGTAAAGAGGTGTGGCCCTTGAAGTAGCCTCGGCCTGTGATTGGATGGTTGTTTCAATGTGATGGTTGTTTCAATGTGATGGTAATTTCATTGTGATGGTTGTCTCAATAGGATGGTTATTGTGTTGTGTGTTTAACTGGTTTTTGAATGCTTAAAAAAGGATTTTTTGCTAACAACACCAACACAGGACAGCAACTGACCCACTAAGACTCCTGAAATCATAGCTGTTGTTACTGCTAGGCGATTTGTAAGTGCAATCAGTGACACAGACATCGTGCTCAAACTGCCTAAGTCCCTCCCCACATTTGACACATGCCTCGGCGCCCCAACCATCAAAATTTTGAGATAGGATGGTATTGCCCTGGCAGGGTTTGCAAGTCAGGCTATCAGGGTCCACATAGTGCCCAACGGAGCATGGAATACAACTGAAAGTGTGTATGCGTTTGTGCTGTTTGTATGTGACGCGTGTTTGTTCGGCTTTGTATGCACATGCTTTGTATGTGTACATTTTTGTATGTTTAGGTTTGTATGTGTACCTGAACATGTTTTGTACGTTTCTGTTTGCATATATGTATGTAAATGTTGGTAATAGACCATAATTTTTACAATACTCTATAAATTCTACCGAATGTTTGAATTCGGAAAATAAGTTTATTTTGAATTTTAATAAACTAAACGTTCACCAAAAGACTTTAGTGAGAAAAATCGAAAAAACGAACTACAAACATATTAACGCCAAACATTCAGTAGAATTTATAGAATATTGTAAAAATATATGTATGTGTGCACGTAAGCAAGTGGGTATGTAAGCAGTTGTTTGCACTGACCCATCATGGGTGACTCCTTGGGGGCAAGCCTCACAGTCACTGGCCCCACCAGCAATTGTATTTGTAATATTTATCGAATACAGCCTGGCTTCTTGAGTCTTCCTCTCCATAGATGGCAGAATATTCATCAAGAGATTATCAACCTCCCGAGAAGATGAAGATGGGTAGGAAAATGATGAAGATGAGGAGGAAGATGAAGATAATGAGGATGGGAGAGGTGACTGTTGAAATGTCCAGGAGAACATTATGTTCCTCGTTGTGTAGATGGGAAGCCTGCATGACATTTTTCAGTAGTAATTACTATCTTATTGAAAGTTAGTTAGTTACAAAATTGTAACACATTGTAGTAGTGATTACTATATTACTGAAGATTTGTAAACGAATTGTGATACTGATAACAATAAACAGTAAGCAGTTACAGTATGTTACAAACTACTGATACTTAGATAGCAGAGACTGATTTAAATGCAAAATTAGCAACAAACAGTTACAAACACAACAGTATAACAGTACTTTTTAAATAAACATACAAAGAACATTCTTTCAAACAGATCCCTAATGAAAGTAGTATTAGCAGAACACAGTAACGAGTGAAAAATAAAATAACTACAAACGTGAATTTCTGCTTCTGCGTACCACCAGACCATGACTCAACCACTTTCAGAGCTTCTCTGCCAACTTTCTAGAAGGTGGTTTGCATTAGTAAAACTAATGTTCAAAATGGTTTTCAACATATACATAAATTAGAACTTAATTTAATACAGCTTTACATACTGACATGCACATGTGACAGCTTCAAATACAAAGTTAAATTGCACGATAAGAACGAATGCAAAGTGAGGAATTGTGCAATATGAGTAAACAAAAACAAAAGGGCGTACAGACACGAAACCTGTATGAAGAAAAGTGTACACTCATCTGTACAAATAGTCTCAAATACAAATGACACATAAGCCACTGGCTTGTTATTGTTACTATTCTTATTCTCACTATCACCACCATTGTATGACTTCCTCTTGGATCTACCAGTTTTACGCATACCAACAGCATCGTCGTCGTCATCATTATCAGAGTCGCCGTCGTCATCGTCATCACCATCAGAAGAATAATAATTATTGTTGTTGTTGTTGTTGTGGCGACCAAATGAGTAGACAGACGATGATGACGACGATGTTGATGTTGATCTTCGATTGTTGTTGTACCTAAATCCAGGGATGTTGATGTTGAGGAGGAGGAATGACGACGGACTGTTTCCTGCTGTCGTTTTCACGTAATCCTTTTCCACGATCCATCCATCCTTCTGAGAGCAATCCGATTCCATTGCTGTGGTAACAGTTTTTATCATGATAGTCTGATGATGGATTGATTAATTGTTTAATGAATGGAGAATACAAATGATAGAATGAAAGATTCAAATAAGTGAATGAATTAGCCAGCAACAAAATTTCTTAACAACCAGTTGACCAACCAGCTAACCAACTGGCCAAACACAAACAATTAACCATTGGCGGGAATGCACTGAGTAGTGATGTTCCAATCGGCCAGTATGACATTCTGCCACGAGTTTATGTACATCCCTATTTGTGGCGACGTCGAGGACGGACACTCGCGGCACGCCTCGTCTTTTTTTCCGGATGAAAAATAATTCTTAGGACAGAAGCTGAAATTATTAAAATGATGATGAATACAGATAACACGAATGAAAATGATGATAACGGTACGGATCTTCATCATCATCTTCATCGTCGAAGCCACAGACGTAGTACCTGCAGCTGCCATTAACGAGTTGGGTTCCTGGGTTACAGGGAGAGCAATCCTCCAGGGCTCCAGGCTCCGGCAACTTAACCGATCCGGATTTTAAAGGGTCGCATATTTTGTTCTCATTCCATTTATACACAACAGAAGTCTGGTTGTGTGATGATGCACAAGGGTTAACATCAATAGATGCATACTTGTCACTCTTTTTTAATCATCACCACCACTATCAGCATTATCAAAAAATTATCATCGTCGTCGTCACCACCTTTCCATTTGAATCGCAAGAAGTGTAGGACTGATAGTAATCAGCATCTGTGCATTTTGGCCTGTCCAAGCATCTTTCAGATTCTGACTCTGTTTGATGGTGAAGATGACACCATTATCATCATTACCATCATCGTCATCAGCAGCAGCACAGCCCATCATCATCTCACTCACCCGAATACTGATGAGCAGGGCATGGTACACAGCTACTGGCCAGCCTCAGTGAGTAAGTGTTGGAATCACATGGCTCGCATTTTTGTTGGCCCTCCGTACTGTATGTCCCTGATAGTGATGATGAATAATATCAATGATGATGACGATGATGATGGTGGTGGTGATGATGAGTAAAATGTTCCTGAAGATGATGGTGAAGATGAATAAGATGATTATGGTGAGTAAGATGATGAAGATAATAATAAACGACGTGACAATGATGGTGAAGACTGTGATGATGGTGATGTTGAGAATGATGTGAGAGAGAAAAAAAACATCATTTCACAGGCCTGCTCTACATGGAGTGCATTCAGATGTAAACGCTATTCCTGAAAATGAAACAAACATTACCATCCTCATCATTATAAAGAACATGTAATGATGACACAATCAATCTTCGTTTAGCATACAAATGATATCAAATTATCAGATATCATTATCTCCAATGATAATACCAAAGCTGATGAATATTGACACCAATGATAATGACCTTGAACTTCAATGAACTTGATCTTGATGTACTTCTTCAGCTTAACTCGCTCCCTATCCATTCCGTCATTCGGGATTGGGAATACTGTCCAAATCAATCTGGTGAACGTCGTCGTCATCATTCAAAACACATCACTATCGTCGTTATTATTATCAAAATCATTTCCTCTTCATCATCTTCAAAGAAAAATCGTCGTTATCATTATCAAAATCACTTCCCCTTCATCATCACAATCATCACCATCATCTTCATCCCCATCACTAGGTTCACCTGTTTAATCCAGGTGCAATATCGATCCTCCTCAGTGAAAACTTTCCCTCCTCGGTTTTTTTTAAACTTTTTGAGAGACCCCCGGCCAGGTTACTAACTCTTTCACACCTTTCATTTTCTAACTAAGGACAAAAATAAATATAATTCATTTTAATTTATTCCTAATTTTCAGAAGAAAAGTTTAACTAAAAACTCTAAAAAACAATGACAACAAAAAAACAAACAAATGCTGAACAACCTGAAATCCAAACCAGGAACCATCGTCATTGTTTTCGTAGGTGAAAGTGACATGACCTTTTCTAACGAACTCTGCTTCATAAGTCAAGGACATTGGACAGCCAGTAACATTGGCTATTAGATACTTTCCAGAAGCCACCCAACCACTAAAAGTGAAAAAGAAATGTACATGGATGAACCAGCAGTACTTCAAAAAGTCATTTTGAAAATTCAAAATTCTCAGCTAACCCAGTGCAATTCACTTTTTCGCTCTCACTGAACAAATAAAGAGATGGATGTTTTTCCATCCTGACAGTAAAATGATTAGGCATGACCTGCCAATCATCATATCTGACTCCACCCCCCAATGAAAATGTACCACTAGGGCACTTTTTACACTCTTGATCCTCAATGTCCAAATAGTGGCCAGATTCGCATGTGAAATCTTACAGAAAAATTTCAATTAAATTTTTTTAGAAATGTGTTTGATGAAATATTACATGTTAAATAATCTTACTCTATTATTTAATACTTTTTATAAATTTTAAATAAGGTTCAGTTGTAAATTATGCAATTTACTACTAGAATTAAACAATTAATATAAAATTCCCATAGGATAGAGTATTATAGACTATAGTATAGTATAGTATAGAAGACAATAGATAGATGAATAGAAAATAGAGAGAGACATTAATATCAATTTTCATGGCAAACAAATAATCAGATATTTTATTTTATAAATAAATTAAATGTAATCAATAGAAACTTAACTTACTGCACTTTTTGCCCCGAACTGGTAAAGTTAGTGAATAATTAGCACATCTACTTGTCTTAGGGATGGAAACTCTCCACCTGTTACCATCTTGATCACACTCAGTGTATTGAAACATGAAGTCAGACTTTCAAATTGATCAAATTAATCATATTATTTATCCGAATTCTAATTAAATTTTATTGTTGTAAACTATGAAAAAACGAGTTTGTAAAATTTAAATAAAAATGGCAAGCTGAGAAGATTCTCACAATTATTAAAAAAGCAACATACAAACCTTATCACAATTTTGGCTACCATATGCGGCGTAAAAAATGGAAATAAATGCAAAAACCGTTAGAGTAAACATTTTTAAATTAATTTGCAGTTTCGGAAAGTATTAAAACAACTTTAAAAAGTTACAATCTGCCATTTCGGCAATTTACTAATTAATTTTAAAATCTAGTATAATTTTAAATGGCGACTTAGCCAAATAATGAGGCGCTTAATTTTAGTAGCTAAAGTAAGCGTATAGATAATTAGTGATATTTTAATTTAATTTTATTAAGTACTTCAGTATATTTAAATAGATTTTTCATGTTTGCCGTATTTTTAATACTTTATTTTTTGTTGAATATTTTCTATTTCAGACGGTTTGGTTGATATTTTCATTACGTTTATTGATCAGGCATGTAGTTATATTTGGCCATATATAATGAATTCTATATACATGTATTTAACATAGCAAAATACAGAGGTAATATATCATAATATTATATATATTATGTCGTAAAGTTTTACATATATAACTAATATATTATAACCGGCTTGAACAACTTCTGTCTGTCCGTAGCATCTTCATCAATAGCAGCTACAAATCAAAATTAAACTACTACAAAATCACACACACACAACACACACACTCACTCACACAACATACACACACACATCCACATGTATCACTTTTTTCGGTAAGTATGTACAAGCTAGTTTGTGTATTTACACTTGGACTCGAAAAGAAACACCTTAAAACGTCATTAAAATATTTATTTGTGAATTTATTTAAATAATTTGGAAAAATGCTAACGACATATTACGCGCGCAGATGTGTAAAGAAAACTGGAAAAAATTTCGCCATCCTATTTCTAGCTGGAAAATATCTGATTATATATATATATATATATATATATTTATATATTCACATATACATATATATATATATATATATATATTCACATATACATATTATATATATATATGTTTATATATATAACACATACAATATCTGTTTCATTAAATATAATTGAAACACGTTACGTCAGAGTTTTTTTTTTCGTCAGATCGGATATAGCGAACTTCGTTATTACGAATATCTCTTTCTTCCTTTCTCTCTCTATCTCCTTTTCTCTCTCTCTAGCTCTCTTTTTTTTATAAATATATGCATAAATAAATAAATATATGTATATATATTTATATTATTATTTTATTCTACAGTATCATTTTATAAAAATATTAAATATATTAATAATAATAATAGTATTAATTATAACAACGACAATAAATATAATGATGATATTAATAATAATTATTATAATAATAATAGTGAGAATAGTTAATGTTCAGCAATACGAATTGTTTTGCCTTACGTATGCGTGTGTGCATGAATGTATGTAAGTATGTAAGGGTGTGTATGTTTGTGTGTAGGTTTGTATGTATGTATGTTTGTGTGTATGTATGTAAGTATGTATGTATGTATGTATGTATGTATGTATGTATGTATGTATGTATGTATGTATGTATGTATGTATGTATGTATGTATGTATGTATGTATGTATGTATGTATGTATGTATGTATGTATGTATGTATGTATGTATGTATGTATGTATGTATGTATGTATGTATGTATGTATGTATGTATGTATGTATGTATGTATGTATGTATGTATGTATGTATGTATGTATGTATGTATGTATGTATGTATGTATGTATGTATGTATGTATGTATGTATGTATGTATGTATGTATGTATGTATGTATGTATGTATGTATGTATGTATGTATGTATGTATGTATGTATGTATGTATGTATGTATGTATGTATGTATGTATGTATGTATGTATGTATGTATGTATGTATGTATGTATGTATGTATGTATGTATGTATGTATGTATGTATGTATGTATGTACGTATGTTGAATATGTTAAATAATGTATATAACATCACAATACTAAGTTATTGAAATTTGTTTATCGGTCATCATCGTCGTCGTCATCCTCTTCACAATGCCATCAAAATTAGGTGAAGGTCATAGATGAACTAGTTCAAGGTCAATCCAAAATCTGGTCAAACTGAAATTAGGTCAGAGCAGAATGACGTCAAACCAAAAATCATAAAGAAGGTGATCCGCTGAACGACTGTACCCATAGACCTTGGTGACGTCACGAATAATTTCATGCTCAAGGAACCTTTTGTGTGTTTTGTAGTGTGTGTGTTTGTTTGTCTGTGTGCGTGTGTTTGCGTTTGTGTGTATTTGCGTGCGTGTGTGTGTGATTTATAAATTAACACAATTGTTAGATCATTGGTGAAATAATCTCGATTTATAAATAATGATTTCATGTCAGCCAGTACAACAAGCAACCAAACACACGCACACGCACACGTACGCACACACACACACACACACACACACACGTTACACACACGCAAACACGTACGTTCGTACTCACGCACACACAAACAAACACACGCACACACACAAACAAACAAACAGCCCAACCAGAAAATAAGTTAAATTCAGCAAAAGCCTCGACAACATTCTCTGGATATCTCTCATAACTGTAATGCATTTTTTGTGTTTGTTGTTGTTGATGTTGTTGCTGCTGATGATGATGTTGTTGTTGTTGCTGCTGCTGTTGTTGTTGATGGTTCCAAAATTTCGTTTTGTTTGCTAGGGGTGGAACAAAAACACTAGATATCGTCGGTCGCGTTGATTTGGCGCTTGATTTTTTAAATGGGTCGTCGTTACTGGGGTATTCTACGATTGATTGATTGATTGATTGATTGATTGATTGATTGATTGATTGATTGATTGATTGATTGATTGATTGATTGATTGATTGATTGATTGATTGATTGATTGATTGATTGATTGATTGATTGATTGATTGATTGATTGATTGATTGATTGATTG